CTGATTTTAAGCCTGAGTTAATAGAAAAACTAATGGAGAGCGAGAAAAGAAAAATCGTTGAATTGATGGATCAAAATCAACGTTAGTATGTCAACTGGTTGAAATAGTACCAATGTGGCAATAAATCAATACAGGTTTAATGTATAGTTACATCTATAATTGGAGGGGAAAAACTTGTAAAATATTTTTAGGAAAGGAATGATGCTAACCCAGGGATTCTCAAACTTAATTGCATCGCGACCCCCTTCTGACGAGAAAAATTACTACATGACCCCAGGAGGGGGGACCGAATGAAGCCTGAGCCTGCCTGAGCCCCACCTCCCCGCATGGGGGGGCCAAAGTCCGAACCCCTCCGCCCAGGGTGGGGTGGGGGCAAAGCAGAAGCCCAAGGGCTTAAGCTGCAAGTGGGGGGCCTGTAACCTGAGCCCCAGCACCCGGGGCTTGGGCTTCGGGTCCAGGCCCCAGCAAGTCTAATGCCAGCCCTGGCGATCCCATTATAATGGGGTCGCAACCCACTTTGGGGTCCTGACCCACAATTTGAGAACTGCTGTGCTAAGCCTTCACTAAAAATTAAACTGGTTAAAGATTTTTGTAAGAAAATCATCATATAAAGTTAAAACCGAGTAAAAGAAGCATTCTTGATTAGGTCCTTTTTGAGATGATCTCTACCTGTTAATCCTCTTCCTTCTCTTTTGTCCTAAAAACTTCTTTTGCATGATCAAATTGTTTAAACTTCTGGAGGTCACCATTATCAATTATCTTTGCTTTAGCTGGAAAGACCCACAGCTCTTTGTGTCCCAGCCACTGGCAATTTTTTACTTCTCTTTTTTATGCCTCTGAGTTTCCTGTGCTAAATCAGCAAACATATTTAGTCACTTGCCCATAGCTCTCAGGTTTTGTGCAGTTCCAGGTGTGGCATTTTATACAGATTATTTAATGATCACATTTTCAAAAAGTTTACCTAAAATCATAAACTTCATCTTTAAACACAGTTGTGTAGATTTAGGGCAGGTAAAAGGCATAGACAGTCATGGAAAATGAAACCCTCTATTTATCTACCGGCAGGTTTTTCAAGAATAAAGGTGATAGTATTGATGTAATATACTTAGACTTCTTGAAGGCATTTGACTTAGTACTGCATGACATTTTGATTAAAAATCTATGATGATACAAAATTAACATCCCACTTAAATTAATTAAAAATGGTCTAACTAAAAAAAGAACAGGAGTACTTATGGCACCTTAGAGACTAACAAATTTATTAGAGCAAGTATTCCTGTTCTTTTTGCGGATACAGACTAACACGTCTGCTACTCTGAAACCGGTCTAACTAAAAGGTCTCAAAACATAATTATAAATGGGGGAATCTTTGAGTGTGTGTATTTCTATGGTGTTCCACAGGGATTGGGTCTTGGCCCTATGCTATTTAACATTTTTTTCAGTGACCCAGAAGAAAACGTAAAATCATCACTGATAGCTTGCAGATGACACAAATTTGGGGAGTGCTAAATAATGAAGGGGACAAGTCATTGATAGAGAACATTCTGGATTGCTTGGGAGGCAGGGCACAAACACACAAGTGTTTTAATATTGCCAAATGTAAATATATACATCTAGGAACAAAGAATGTAGTCCAAGAAGGATGTTGATAAAGAGGAGAGGTTTCAGAGAAGAGCCATGAGAATGAATAAAGAATTAGAAAAACTGCGTAAAAGTGATAGATTCAAGGAGCTCAATCTATTTAGTTTAACAAAATGAAGGGTAAGGGGTGACTTGATCACAGTCTGTAAGTACCTTAATGGAGAACAGGAATTTGATAATGGACTCTTCAGTCATCAGACAAAGGTACAACGTGATCCAGTGGGGGGAAGTTGAAGCTAGACAAATTCAGACTAGAATTAATGGACACATTTTTAACAGTGAAGGTAATTGACCATTGGAACAATTTACCAAGGGTTATGGTGGATTCTCCATCACTGGAAAACTTTAAATCAAGACTGGATATTTTTCTAAAAAATATGCTCTAGTTCAAACAGGAATTAATTCAGGTAAATTCTGTGGCCTGTGTTATACAAGAGGTCAGACTAGATGATCACAGTGGTCTGTTTTGGCCTTGATAAATAACACTTCTTTCTAAGGATTACGGGGATATTTTGTTCTCCATGATCTACACAGTTCTGAGCATCTCTACTGAATCTACCAAGTACACCTCTACCCCGATATAACGCTGTCCTCGGGAGCCAAAAAAACGTACCGCGTTATAGCTGAAACCGTGTTATATCGAACTTGCTTTGATCTGCCGGAGTGCACAGTTTCCCCCCCCCCCCCCCAGCACTGCTTTACCGTGTTGTATCCAAATTTGTGTTATATCGGGTCGCGTTATATCGGGGTAGAGGTGTAGTGCAAAGCATGATAGTTTGTCAAGCAGGAAATGTGATTCACTAAAATAGTCACATAAGAGCCACAAAACATACATTATATGGGACCAAATTTTAAGTACCACTGAGTTTGGCTGGATTCAGACTGGAGACCTACAGCAAGAGGCGGTGTAGCTCATTAGCAATGTCATGAGGTATTTAGTCATCCTATAAGTGCTAATTTAGGTGGTGGTCCTGTATATTTTTATATTTTAGCTTTAAAAATTCTACATTGAGCATTAAAGTTGCAAAGCCAAGTACTATGGCATGCCAGAATTAACTTTGTTGGTGCAGCTTTAGTTATACTCCTTATGCATATTCATTATAAACAGGCTTTAATTATATAGTCACATACCATCTTTTCCCTCATGGATCATCAGCAGGATTTGAACCCAGGAGCTTCAGAGCCACAACACAGATCTCTACCACTTGAACGAAAGGAGTGAGTGATACATACATGAATAGGCTTTTATTTTGTATGTGTTTCAGCCCCTAAAGAGGGAAATAACATATGCTTGGCCAGTGGATTACACAACTGTAGGTGAGACAGCAGAGGGATGTTGGATATTGGGATTCCTGGGTTCTGTTTGTGGTTCTGGCAGCAGAGTGTGATCTAGTGGTTAGAGACATCACAGTCAAGCATGTAGGTTTTGCAAACTCATTCCAAAAGGCATCATGGCTAAGTGGATGAATTTTGCATTGCTTTTGTCTTGGAGACCTGGGTTCTTTTTCCACATCTGCCTGAAGTGGCCATGTGCAACATCTCAATTACCTTATTTGTAAACTGTGGGGAATGATAGTTTCCTGTCCCTAGGGTAGGAATATGAGACCTTAATCAGTAAAGAACACAGTGCATAGAAATGTTAACACCAATCAGTAGAAGAGGTGAGACCAGAACCCATAGTATTCTGGCTCCCAGCTGAGTACACATTACCTGGGACCAAAGGTTATTTTATGGGAGAGTCTCTCCATCTCTTCTCTCCTCCCCCGCAATGTGTGATACTTAGGGCTTGTCTACACTGGCAATTTACAGTGCTGCAACTTTCTCACTCGGGTGTAAAAAAACACCACCCTGAGCGCAGCAAGTTTCAGCGCTGTAAAGCGCCAGTGTAGACAGTGCCCCAGCGCTGGGAGCCACGCCTCTCAAGAAGGTGGTTAAAGCACTGCCATGTTGCCAGTGTAGACTAGCCCTTAGCAAGGCATGTATGTGGAAAAGCAGCCTAGAAAATCATTGTCATTTGAGATGGGTGACAGATGGGAGGCCTAGTTGCCTGTACAATCTTCTTTTTTCCTTCATAAGAGAGGGGTATTTGTGGGTGTGTGTACACACATGCGCATGTGCACACATGATCTTTATTAGGTATGAGCAAAAATAACTAGGCATGGAAATGTGTTGATAGTAGCCAAGTTGTGGGAGAATTATCATTAAATGCCAGGAATGAGGAGCACCCTTTCACTGACAAGAAGATCAGATTTAGTGGATTATGGTGTTACTTGCAGCTCCTAAATGCCTTTCTCTGGCTCAGCCCCTTTTAAACACTCCTGGATTTCTAACAGTTGGTGATTTCTGGGTTCCTAATTTTCCAGATTTTTAATTTTTTTTAGAGACATTCTTAAACTAGAGTATTTTATATAGTTTTTAAATTCGCAGTTTCTATTTTCATGTTTTCAGTCTGTATTCAGTGTTCACAGTATCTTGACACCCTTTATTTGTGCCTTCTGTAACTTCAAAACTGCTTTTAGAGAGGTCAAGAGGCTTCAGAATGGTTCCCTCAGGATAACTAAACCCATCATGTAAAGAAGGAGCGAGCGATGGTAGACTCACCAGATTCACCAGCCTCCTTACCCTGCCTGCTTATATTGATAGATATGAAGGTTTCCAGATCTGTTTGCTGCTAATATTTTGATTTCTTGGACTCCATTTTGTAGTAGTTCAATTAAGTGAAAGAAAATAAAAATGCAAACATAAACACCAGGTTGGTTCTGAAAACAATCAAGCAGTAAACTCTATACCCAAAGACTTAAATAAGCCAACAGCTGGTGTTAGCTGCAAGGTCTGTTACTGGCATTGTATTGCAGTTAGTGGATCATGTATGTTTAAAAAACAAACAAACAAACAAAAAACCTACACCAGTCCAGAGCCAGCAGCAGCCTGGTGTTAAAGGAAGCTTGCAAGTGGCCATATTTCTTCACTCCCTTTGTTCTGCTAGAGTTGATAATCTTTCTTAAACTGGCAGAATCCATGAATTTCAGAGGTAAGACTGATTTGTTCTGCATGTGCTGTTGCTAAGAATAATTACATATGATATATAAGATCACTTATTTTATATTATATTATTTGGGATTTTTCTAGAGACTATAAACTGCAATAATTATATTAATCATTGCATTAAAGATATAGTTGAAGCCTTAAACTAAAATGTTCTTCACTATTCTGAATTTGATAGTGGAAATCCACTATTTGTATAACTTGGTCTTAACTTGCTGTCAATGGTACTGTTTGGTAGTGGCAGTGCACCAAATGTGTATATATATAGTATCTGCATGGTACAATCCTATTCTTGATTTTTTTCTTCCATCCAGACAATGAATGATTTTGACTATTTAAAACTACTGGGGAAAGGCACTTTTGGCAAAGTTATTTTGGTCCGAGAGAAGGCAAGTGGAAAATATTATGCGATGAAGATTTTGAAAAAAGAAGTTATTATTGCAAAGGTAAGCTTATGTTTTAATATTTTCCCTGCTCAAGTATTCTTTTGGGTGGGAAATTCCATGTATAACAGGCAAAACACCAGTGGTTTCTGATGGTAACTATAAGTTTCTAAAGGGATCTAAGTTCTCTTAACATTTGTACTTCATGTGCCTTTTTCCATTGCCTTACCAATCTAATGAACAGAAAGCATTTGGATGCATCCTTGCTGTGGTCATCTGGATCTATGTTTAGGAAAGCATCAGAAAGATTGTGCAAGTCGGGTTTAAATAAGAAGAAAATGTACTGTGGGAAGTACTGTAGGCTTACAGGAAAAGATTATTTAAAAGTAAACTGGGATCATTCTCAGAGTAATTTGCGTGAAGTGGAGCAATTAAATATAGCTTATATTTTATTCCCTGCCTTGCTAGGTAAGGCAGCTGCTCATGGGATAAAGAATTTAAACTTTCCATTCCTATGGGACAGGAAAAATCTGAAGTTTATGCCTGTAGGGCTGATGTTAAAGGGGCAGGATCAAATAGTTTAAACTTAGTGTTTGATTAGCCTGGTATTGCCAACTATTGTGATTTGATTCTTAGACTATCACTGTAAACTCTCTGTATAGTTGCTCTAAGCTGATGGGAGAGAGCTCTCCCATTGGCTAAATTACTCCAGCCCCTGTGAGTGGCGGTAGCTATGTCGGCGGAAGACGCTGTAGTGTAACCATAGCCTTAGACTCAAAGAGTTCAAGGCCAGAGGCACCGTTAAATCATTTAGTGTGACCTCCTGTATAACACAGGCCCTTAAATTTCACCTGTTTACCCCTGTATTGTGCCCAGTAACTTGTTGTGACCTTTGCAATATTTGGTGGTTTATGAAAACCTCAGCTGCTGGTATCAGATTATTATCTGAGAATTTTATCTTTCATCTTAAAAAAAGTAAATTTCTTCTCACATGGAAAAGTTTAAAAATTTGAACTCTGAATGCTGCAATGTCAGGAGGCAAATCCAAAGAACCCCAATCTGATGATTTTCGTTGGCCTGACTCATGATATTTGAGTGCCTGGGGTTGGCAAAACTGATAATCATAAAATTCTAATGGGACTTTTCTCATGTATTTTATATATTTCGCTTTTAAAATATCATTCTATACATTTTTGCTTTTAAATATAATTGTGGGATGAAGTGTGCTATGCCAGAACTTGCAGCCAAGGAGGATGGGGACTATGGTGGTTTTAAGCTATCTTTGTGCCTTCCTGATTCTGGACAGTTCCAAGGGCTAGAGCAGCTCTCAGTGCAATTTAGACAGCCCTGTGGGTGTACAGCGGCTACTTCAGGATGTTCTATGGGTGGAAGTGCTTCTCAGAGCAGCCCTACCCCCAACACCTTTGTCCTCAACATGGCCCTTTTATTAGTGCTTGTGTAGGGATCCTCAGGAGGCTGTCTTATGGCTATCTTTCTTAGTTCCTGTGCTGAGAGAATCCTCACCTGGCTGCATGCAGGGCCTTTAGAGCCCTTTTATGCCATTTTCTTGCCCTTTTACCCTATGTAAAGATGCCATAGTTGGGGTGGCTTTTATATCAGTTAGACAAAACCAATATTTTGGCTTCCCTTGTTCATGCTGATGGCTGCTGCAGTAACACTGAATTTAAAATAAAGTTAAAATAACATTTCTTAACATACTTATTTTTTCTATTTCTGTGTAGCAGGTTCTGCTCTCCATTAAACTAGTGAAAGTCTAAAATAATTCTGTTGAGATCAATGAAGTTACTCTGTTTACTTCAGATCAGAAACTTGCCCATTAGGATAGTGCTGGAGACCCAGCTTTGATTTTTTTGTTCTGTTTTGTTTAGTTTGGTCTCACCCATGCTAACCAAGGAGCTTTAATGTCTGAGGAAGCAACGCATTCCTTAATCTCTGAACTTTGACCTCTCTAGATTACTTTTAATAACTTTGGAAGCAGTGGTGTTCAGTTTTCCATGGCTGATAGGGTGGTAGTGATGATGTGAGGTCTTGGTGAAGTTTAGAATGGGGGATATACTTGGGTCTTCAGAAACAGTGTGGTATATTCTCTTTCCCTTCCCACCACATGCAAAAATATGATAGGCTAGTAGGCACAGTTGATTGGCACACTAACATCATGTACATCCACAGAGATTTATAAATAGTGATAGCATTTAACCTCTAGAGCGCAGTGTTTAAACTGATACTTAAGGGCACAAGTTAAAATAAGTTCTTCAGTGTCAACCTAGTCTTCATTTAAGTACATCTCATAGTCCACTTACAGCTTGGTATAATATGCACTAGAGAAAATCATGATTGTAACAATAGGTGTGTTATGGTTCAGGTTTGAGATGTAATGGCAGACCTGTGTATGGGAAGGTTGTATGGCATCTGCCCAGTTCAATTTCGGTGATAGATCAAACATTGCATTTGTTTGGAACTTGCTACCAGTATTATTAAATCCTGGGCCAATGGAATCATTGACAGCTTTTAATGCTCTATACCTCATGAACCATAGAGGTTCTAAACAAAATTTATCAATCTTTGGTAGTTCCCAGCCTTTCATTTGTACACACTTGTTTGCACCTCAAGCACAGTGAAATATATTGGACCTAAACTTTGCATTTAATTTAATTTGTTTCTTTTCCCCCCACTTAAATTCTGGCATTATTTTTGAGAATCACTAAAACTATAAACTAAGAGGCACATCCTCAACTGGTGCTCCAGTATCAATTTACACCATCTGAGGATCTGCTTTTTAGTTTCTTATTTGCTCAAGAATGGGGTTTTCAGCAGCATTCCATGTTGGCCTAACTCAGGTTTCATTGAAATCAGTGGGAGCAGAATTTGGCCAATGCTTAGTGTTCTTGAAAATCCCATTCTAATGCTGTATGCTACCTAAAGCAGCTGGGAATCCTAGCTTTCAAATTAAATAAAACATTAATTTCTGTCTAAAGCTTGTGATGTGACTGCTATGAAAATCATGCCAGAATTGAACACCAGGAGTGAGGAAGCAAGATCAGAATTAGAATAACTTGATTTTTATAGTGTTCTTACCAAATGTGTCTTAAATGGCATTGTGGGATTCCATGTTTGCTTGTGTGTCAGAGATTCCTTATATTTGGTTCCCATTGACATCCAGTGGGGGCTTGTTGGTGCTCAGCACTTCTGAAACTCAGGCCGATATCTAAATGACTTAATGCTCCTATTTTTGAAAATCTTTGCTGTTTTGAAATGTGCTTAGTTTACAAGTAATACAGGTTTTTTTCTAACTTTTAGTCCTGTGAACTCAACCTGAGAAATCAAGCCTCAGTCCTTTTTCCCACATCACCAGTAATAAAGGTTCTGCAGGCCAAAATAGGCCCTTGAATAAACCTGCACAGTCCTACTACCTATAATGGGTTTGCATAGGTATAACTGATTAGAACTTAAACAAATAATTCTGTCAGTGGTTCTGTCAGTGGTTTTTGTGCAAGTGGGAATAGAGCCCTCCTTGCATACTCATAGCTGTGTGATCTCTGCAGAGGTACCAAGAGTAAAGTGCACTAAAATCTTAGGCCCTGATCCTACAAACACTGAAATATGTGTTTAATTTTGCTTTTGTGTGTGGTTCCATTGACCTAATATGAGTAATGTTATGCACATGTTTTAAATATTTGCAGGATGGGGGCCTTATTCAGTAACTACAAGTAAACATGTATGATGTAGTAAAAACTGACAGCAGATCTGTTGAATCTGAGGGTGCCATTTTTACATAGTCACTGTTCAGAGCAGAATTGTATTGTCATTTTATTTACTTTTGTTTATTTGAATGTTAAGTTCTCTAAAATGTTTCAGCAGCTCCATAAATCTTAAATAATAGGTAAATGTTGTGCTTCACTGTAGTTTCTTTTCCCCCATGAAAATCAAGGGGCATTTGGGAGTCATCCTATCCTAATAGTTTGTTTCCATGCTGAAAAGGAGGACCTTCCCCCCGCCCCAAATAATAGTATTATTTGTGCTTCACTTCGTCTTCTCTTGGTATGGATATGGAAACTGCTTGTGACCTCAGCAGCAAGGGACTCAAATTCTATCTTAGACTTTTTGGGAAAGGAGTCAAGGCAGATGTAAATTTGATGTTAACATTTATTTAAGGTTTAGGGAAGTATTGAGATGTTTTATTAAATTAACTGAACAGGAAAAATATGAAAAAGATTTGTAACAAGTTAGGGCCAATCTATGTGTTAAGATCCAAGTGTGAATTGCTGAGCCAGAAATATTCTGATATATCATCAAATGCTTTCCGGAAAAATAATGATGAAGTGAAGAGAAAGGAATTTTTGTTGTTTTCATGGATATTAAATCTACTCTCAGACTATCAGATAGTAAAAAGGGGGAGGGGAATATTCATATAGCATATGAAATAGAGTTCTAAAAAGTTACTTGACATTGCCCTTTCTAGTTCTTTATCAAAAAAAATTTTCCATAAACTTCTAAAAATATGCTAGAAAATCCTCATAGTTCCTCCATTAAACTGTTTTAATGCCTTCCTCTTGTATGTGGTTGTATTACATTCACCCAACATTTCAGTGCTAAAGTTTTAACCACTAACTTTTTGTTGCTGTTATTTTAACTTCTTATTTTGATGGCCTTCTTTTTATTTTGACAGCCTTCTTTTCAGTATAATTTATAACTCCTGGCATCTTTGGTTAATTTGTAGCTTAAGGGTATCTTTTCTTCATGGTTTAGATTAATTAATATGTACCGTGCAATAGTATTACATTTTCATTATTTCTATCATTATTTTAAAAGTATACTTTGAACAAATGCATTTGCTTATTGTTATTGCTGATACTTCTGATTTGCACCAAACTAATCTTCCATTCACTATGATATTCAGCAGTTGCTAGGCAACCCACACAGTAAGTTGCTGACCCTCCTACCCTTTTTAAGATAATGCAGCTAGCAGAGGGGTTATTTTAATGAATTTTCTTTGTGAACTGCAAATCAGACTTATGTTTTTGATGTTATTGAGTTACATTATTTTAAAAACTCTAAATTATTATTTAAAGATTCATTTGCTACTCTAATTAGGAGTTAATTGTAAAAATTTAGAGAGCCTCTGAAAATTTTAGTTTCTTTCATATTAAGATTCATTTGGGTGTGATATATGCAGTTGCCTCCCAAATTTTATCCATTTGCATTTGATACAAAAATAAATCGTTACTGATTAATACAAAGTTGTAGACTGTTACATGTGTAATACTAGATGCTTCACATCAGAACTGCTATGTAGGACCATAAGTTGTCTGTATTTTTAAACCATCAATTCCTTAATAATTTCCTCTTATACAGAAAGTGGTATAATAGTTCATCCATTAGCATTAGAAAAAATAGGGACTCAAATACAGGGTGTGTTAATTCATCATTTTCCACATTAGGCGCTATGCTTAATTTTCTACCTGTGTTTTTAGAATATATTTGAATGATAGAATTCTTTGAAAAGAAATAGCAATTATCAAAACTGAATGTGCTATCTCATTTTAAGATTTTGTATCTTTGTCTTTCCTGAAGTAGTTAAATTAGACTTATAAATTAAATATAATTTTCATCTCTCAATTCATGTTGAACCCTTTATTATTCAGGATGAAGTGGCTCACACTCTTACAGAAAGCAGAGTATTAAAAAACACTAGACACCCTTTTTTAACGGTAAGTATTGGGAATACAGAATAATTTTTTTAAATGGGTAATTTTTAACCTGAGGGATATACAATTATTGGAAAAAAAATTGTAAATAAATACATTTTAAAACTTTGTAACTCATGTGAGGTTAGGGTGGCAAATATCTTGAGTTTATGGTAAATGATATTAGAGTTTGGAAAATGCATTTAAGGTTTGCGGTTTAGAAATACTAAAGGATCTAATAGTTTAATAGAGCTTAAATTATATGAAAGCAAAAAAAGTTAGCTGTAAAATTAAAATGTTGCATTTTTGTGTGGATTCTTTTATCCATTACAATAAAAATTGTTGAGTTGTAGAATTTTTTACACATTGTCAAGAGAATAATTAGAAGAAAGTGGATTTTAAATGGTTAGAAATTGAAGGCAAGGTACTGAAACACATATTTGTGTCTGGCAAACATAATGTATAATAACAATAGTTCAGTATCTTTGTGCACTGTGTGCTGATTAAATGTTTTAAAATACATAATATGGACAATAATATGTATTCACCATTTTTATTATGTATTAACAAAATAAAGGAAATAGAATGACAGATTAAATCCATTTGAGGTTCACTGCAAATTAAGGGGTTAGTCTACTGTTAAGAAAACAGTTTCCCAATATAAAACTAAGTTAAATCCCTCCTTGCTCTCAATTTACCCAAAAATATGTTGATGTCAATTTTTCAGAAAATTAAGAAAAACAAATAGTTTTATTCCTGTCTTCTACTATGTTCAAAAAACAATGCTTAGTGGATTGTAACTTTAATCTGGGAGACTATTATAGATTTTTATGTCTTATTTTTGAAAATAAGGCTAATTATAATATGAACATGATAAACTATATATAAACTGATTTATAAACAACCATTTAGACAGCAACGGATATATGGATGATAAAGGTTTTTTTGGATTTATATTAAACTAGATATATTAAAACATTATTATAAAAGTATATCGGGAGATATGAGAACTTCAGAAATTTCTTAAATTTCAGAGTATAAAGATAGGGAAGAATATGTCTACCATAGCCCATTTCAGAATCTAGAACATGTGACAGTAGATTCATCATCTCTTAAAGTGCCTTCCATGCTTATGGTGCTGAACAAATATTAGTGATATGATCATTTACCAGTTGTAAATTTGTTTATTCACTCAAGATAAAAGAAACCTACACTTGATGTCTGGAATGTCATTTCCTAAAATGTTAGTATTTGTAACAAGAAAGATTAAATAAATTAACAAAATTATTATTTGGTATTAAGCAGAAAGTAAATAGAAAACTCATCTTTGGCTTCAAGTAAATCCTGTAACTCTGGTTCATGAACTCTGCCTTCATATAGATGAGGTCTTCCCAGAGTTTCCCAAGCCAGCCCCTCTTATAGTCCTTTTCAAGCTGGTCAGGAAGTGGTTCTCCCCTTCTGCGGGAATTTTTGAGATTTCAAAAAGTTTTCCTAGTCCCAACTGGGATGGCAGGTCAATCCTGAAAATTTTTGTGAACCAAATATCTACAAGAAATATTGGATTGGTTCAGTGAAAACATTTTGTTTAATTAATTTCAAAATGTTTCATTTTGATTGTGACCTTTTTAATTTTTAAATTATTTTTACTATACATTAAATTTTGAAATGAAGTGATTTCACAATGAAAAATTGAACTTCTGTTTTGAAAATGCTGAGACTGGGGCACTAACAATTCCAGGGTTTTTTGGTTTTTAAATTGAAACAGGAAATTTGTCAAAACAAAAAAGTTTGGTGAAATGATGAAATGGTAGTTTCCAATGAAAAAAAGATGAAATGGTAGTTTCCAATGAAAAAAATTAGTCAAAAAATTTGTGACCATCTTCTTTTAAGTAAAGATAAATAGGAAGGGGGGAAGATGAGCTGAAATTAACTTTGTTCTTCAGTGCCTCTACTACATACATTGATATAATTTCTTAGTTTCTCCCTTTAAAAAGTACTAATTTTCTCCTTCAAAGTCGTATATATAATTCAGATATTCAATTTCATCATAAACTCTGTATATAGCATAATGTCCTATTGTGATGACTTCTTGTTCATTTTGCTGTTTTAAAAGCTATTTTATGGAGGCTGAGGCTGACGTTATAGCTATACTTGGCAGACCAAGTAGACATTTTGGGCCAAATTGTGCTCAGCTTGCCTAGTAGCACAAAGGAGCATATGACGCATATGGGTACATGGGGTGGGGAGTGGGCAAAGCCTTGGCCTTGCTCCTCAAACCACTGGTCACATAGCTGGTATGTCTGGGAGCTATATGCTGTACCAGGTATAGATCCAGCACAGTTTTCTCCCTTCCCAGAGCAGCCGGGAGAACAGCAGGGCAGTTGACTCCCTTAGCCACAGTCTCCCTCCTGGGCTACTCTAGGGACAGCACAACAACGTGCAGCTCTACTTACTCTAGGTACGTTGTTAAGTCATGATCTATCCTTTCATAATTACATTGAATCTTGCTACACTGCATTTCAAATAATTGGGCCAAATGCATATCTGTAATGGATTTATAGTCAGTAGATTTACACCAGGAATGACTTTGGCCCATCATGAGCCATTCAAACCTTGGGAAGTCAAGATTTTAAATTATATGAATAATAAATGTTAATGATTTAAAAAAGTTCTATATAATTTTATGTATTACTAATTTGGCACTGAAAAAATGTTCAGCATTGTACAATACATTAAAATAAAGGCAGTGTCTGCTCTGAAGATAAGACAGACAGACATAGGAATCCCATTGAAGATTCCTCCTTGCTCCCCTCCTCCCACAATATTATAATCTTTCTTCTTATGGGTACCATGGGAAAAGTGGGTTTGGGATGGTATTAGAATGAGGAGAGGATGGTGGTGGAAGATGTATGGCTAATACCACACATTTGGAAGCGAGGAAGATATTTCATTTCATAGTAGGATTAGAAATGCCAGTAGAAAACTGTGCTTATTTTTAATGGCAACATAGTAAAAAATAATTATTTTATTAATGTACATTTTGCTGAGTGAGCAAAACGTGTAGACTTTTCTTGTCAATGGCTCTCATAGTAGAGTGATTCAGATAGAGAAGTAGGAAATAGTGATGATACATTCCAGCAATCAAATTTGTCTGTTTAACAAGATACATTTAAATTTTTGTTAGCATTCTAATTACTAGAAATCAGGTTAATATGTGAAGATAATTTTTTGTTTTTTTTTGTTTTTTCTTCTCTTTAAGTCTTTGAAATATTCCTTCCAGACAAAGGATCGTTTGTGTTTTGTGATGGAGTATGTTAATGGGGGAGAGGTGAGTCAAAGAAAAAAAATTGCATTAACACTGGTATTATTGCCATTAGGTAGTATTTTTAAAGATGTACTTTGTCCTGAATTTTTATTTGTGTTTGATGGAATTTTCTTAAAATAGGAAACTATCTATAAAAAGTTTAGGGCCAGATTTTCAAAAGTATGCTTTGATTTTTGAAAATCTAGTTTGTTGTACACCTCTATCCTGATATAAAGTGACCCGATATAACATGAATTCTGATATAACGCGGTAGAGCAGTGCTCCGGGGGGGCGGGGCTGCGCACTCCGTCAAATCAAAGCAAGTTCGATAGAACGTGGTTTCACCTATAACACGGTAAGATTTTTTGGCTCCCGAGGACAGCGTTATATCGAGGTAGAGGTGTATTTTAAAGTTTCAGTGCATAACAAAGCAATAAGTTTAGCGTTATATCTAGCAGTCTAGCCATGTGCATGCCTACTAGAGACTCTTCCCTCCTGCAGCCTGTACTCCTCCCTCCAAGTTCCATGCAGGTTGCTACATCTTTCCTTTTAACAATTGTAGTTGTGTCTTTTGTACAAGCATTCGAATTGCCGGGGCCAGAGGTTACTAGTACATAACCCACCCCTAGGTATATGGCCTTTACAGCCATCCCACTGCTGCCTGTTAGGCCTCATAATTCTTCAGTTGTGCTGGTCTTTGAACCAGTCTCCTACTTCTTATTTGTGTTATCACTGTTGGTGGGGCACTTGCTACCCTCCTGTTGCTGCCTTTATTCTGTTGGTTGGTGTCCTGTTGGTTCTCTGTATTGCTCATATACCTCATTTCTTCCAACTCTCCTGTGTCAGGCCAGTTGAAAGCTGAGGTTCTTCTTGTGTCTTCCTGGTCCTTGCCTTCCTGTCCACCACTACACCGCAGTTGTCTTCAGTTTTGTCTCTGCCACTGTTCTGAATCTGTACCAACCTTATTTGACCAGTGTTCCATTGCAGCTTGAACTGTTACCTTGTGCCATTGCTTTGTGTGGGTGTTTGAAGGTTGGACTATAGACTTGCTCACCTCTGTGCAGTGGCCTCAGATCCTTGGCTCCCTTGTTGTAGTGGGCTGCTCACTTAGCTTGGCATTCTCTTAACTGTTTCAGTGTACTTTCCTTTGTTCCTCTGCCAGACTGCAGCAGACAGTCCTTCCTGGGAATCAGAGTCTTGGTTCTCTGACTCACCAGTCTCTGTCCTGGGCTACTCTCTAGTCCCTGGGAGGGTTTATTGCGATGCTCCAATGTTGACAGGTAGAATGATCCCTTCCTTTCTGTTTTGCCTTTGGCATCAGTCTCTTGGCTTTGACTGCCAACTTGGTGTTGAGTCTTTTTTTTTTGTTTTGGATGTAGTGTATTGTGACCCATTGTCTGAGCATAGTAGGTCAGGTTTGCCATACCTTGCAAAATGCGCCTTTAGTTTCCTGATGACACTTCTGGCCTGAGTTTTTTCTAGGTAGTCCTCCTCCCAGAAATTGGAGAACACCTCTACCCCAATATAACGTGACCCGATATAACACGAATTCGGATATAACACAGTAAAGCAGTGCTCCAGGCGGCAGGGCTGCGCACTCCGGTGGATCAAAGCAAGTTTGATATAACGCGGTTTCATCTATAACGCGGTAAGATTTTTTGGCTCCTGAGGACAGCGTTATATCGAGGTAGAGGTGTAGTAACCTACTTTGACCACATAACCTTTAATAACAGGAACTAACTTTTTCCCAGGGTTGAGCTGGGATTTCGTGAGGTTGTAGTCGCCTTCTGTTGATTACTTTATTTGTTGTACATCTTGCACTGTTCTGTGTATGCTCTGCTCCGAATTGGGCATTAATTCCTGACTAGTAGAGACACTTCCTGGCTCATCTTAACTATGCTTCCTTTTTCAGGTGTGAAGCATATATCAGTCTCATGATGTTTGCTCTTAAATCTGCTGGGATTACTGCTCAGTTTCCTTTTAAAAAAATCATGTCTTGCACACACAGTTCAACCCTCACCTGCGGTACTTGCTCCTTGGCATCTGGCCAGCCTTGGAGTATGAACTGTTTTAGTGCCTCTAGCACTCCACCCTATTCAGTGTTTTGTTCGTTTGCCTGGGTCCTCCCATCTGAAATGTGAAGGTATTGTAGCATATTGATAGACCCTATCTTCTGTTCCACAAATCCATCAGTGTTGTGCTCTGGAAACTATGCCTCACTCAGCATATCTGCTGCCAGTAGTGATTTTCTTGTACAATACTTTATAGACTCCAGCAGGTTGATGTACGCATAATTTGTTGTTGTCACTTGGGTGCTCTCAGCAATGACTTCATGATACTTTCTCATAGCTTCTGATCAGAGTGCACAACTATGTTATGCACAAAGGTGAACTGTTGGCAGAGGTGAAAGTAAGCCAGTACGGTACGGCGTACTGGCAAGAGCCGGTACGCCGTGCCGGACTGCACTGGCTTCTCTGCTGGTGATTTAAAGGGCCCAGTGCTCCAGCCGCTGTGGGGAGCCCCGGGCCCTTTAAATCCCCTCCAGAGCTCTGGCAGCCGGGCTCGGGCGGGGATTTAAAGGTCCTGGAGCTCTGGCCCCGCTGCCGGAGCTCCGGTGGCGCTTTAAAGGGCCCGGGGCTCCCTGCAGTGGCTGGAGCCCTGCTACCGCTATCCCAGCGGCGGCAGGGCTCCAGAGGCAATTTAAAGGGCCTGGGGCTCCCCACAGCGGCTGGAGCCCTGGGCCCTTTAAATCACCTCCGGAGCCCTGGCACCGCTAACCCAGCTGTAGCCCGAGCCCTGCTGCCCCGGGGTGGCGGCGGCAGGGCTCCCGTGGTGATTTAAAGGGCCTGGAGCTCCGCGGCGGCCGGAGCCCTGGGCCCTTTAATTTGCCCTGGGGCTCCCAGTCGCCTCTGTAGCTGGTAGCTCTGGGGTGATTTAAAGGCCCTGGGGCTCCCAGCCACAGCTTGAAAGTCCCTGCCTCTTCCAGTCGAGGCCACGCCTCTTCTGGTTGAGGCCATGCCCCACTCAGGACTCTGGTGTACGGGTAAGTCCTTTAAGTTACTTTCATCCCTGACTGTTGGCGTTCCATTCCACATACCACAGCCCGTGGATCCTTTTCTATCTGTGCATACCCTCTTTCTGTGTCTGTCAGGGCTCGAATAGCAAATTCTGTGGGCTGCTGACTTTGTTGCTCTTCTGAGACATCACGCTGAAGCTCTAGCTGCTCTGCAGGGCTGTAGTACTTCAGGACTGGTGCCTTGCTTATGATTTTCGTTACTCCTTCAAATGCTGCTTCTTGAGTCTCTCATCATTCCCACACTGCATAATTGTGTGTTAACTGTCTCAAGGGCTCACAGACTTCTTATTGATGTGCACTGAATCTGTGTAGACAGTTGGCCATTAATATAAATTGCTGGACTCCCTTCACTTCCTTTGGCCAGGGCATTTCCTTAATGTTTGTCAGTTTCTTGGAGACTGGCTGGAGTCCCTCAGAGGTCAACAGATGTCTGACATAGGGGACCTCAGTTCTCCTCATCTTCAGCTTGTGTGCATTCAACCCAATATTCCACTCATGGCACTAGTTTGAGTTACTGCAGCTTGGTATCATGGTCCTGGATTACCTCTTTTTAGTCATATCCTTCTCCTACATAAGAATGTCATCAGCTACAGTCTTTATGCCTGGGAGTCTGTCGGATGAGGCCTAGTTCAGTTTACACTGGAACACCTCTGGGGCCAGACTGATGCCCAGAGGTATTCATACTCTGCAATTCCTAGCTCCACATGCCAGGACTCATTCTTGATATCACTTTTGCCATGGATAAATTGAATAGTGTGTCCTCAGTCATTGGTAATGGGTAGTGATTTCTCAATGCTCTGTTCAGTGGTTTTAGGTCAATGCAAATCCTCTATTTACCTGAAGGTTTTCTCAGCGCTAATGGAATTCTGATCCACTCTGTGCTGGTTTCAGTGAGTGTAAGGATGCCTCTTTGCAGGTTTGCCGGTTCCTTCTTCAGTGGCTCCAATAGAGCTAATGGAACTCTGCATTTCGGAAGCCTTATGTGCAGCCCAGGGATGTCAGTTTCTGCAGCTTGCCCTTTAGGGTCTGTCTCCTTGACATATGTCCTCATATTTTGCTTGAATGCTGGACAGGCCCATGTTGACTTCTCCCTCCTCTCTCACTTTAAGACTGTTCTCCTGTGATGCATATTTGCCAAATTAGTAGCTGTCATAACTCCATAATCATAAGTGAACTCTAGGATTTTGAATTTGAATTAGGAATTTGTCCTAATGACTAAGAACTTAAAGTGTAAGGGAGGCTCAAGAATATGGTGTAGCGTGCCAGAGGGAGCAATTAAGAGGTTTAGATCAGAGGGTTAGATACCAGATGAGGAATCCTTCAGTCTTCCTGTTTTTGATTACATATATAATATTTTTTACAGAAGTTTAAAAAATATTGTACATATTCTATAAAGGTGCTAGATATAGCATTTGTTCCAGAAATGTAAGGAGGACAGGCAAGATTGTTGGTTTAACTGTGGTTTAACTAGGCTGCAACAGTCAAATCTGGAAATAGATCTGGAAAAATCTTGTCCAGTTGAAGGCATCCTTCCTTTGAAATCCATTCCACCCAGGGCCAGATTTCCAGTTAGGCACAGTAGGCACGTGCCAAGGCGTGCCTAAAAGTTAAAAGTGGGTTAAAAGTTTCATATATTACAGAAAACATGAAGGTCAGCTGTAGGCAGGGGGTCGCTAAAGATGCTGTGCCTCGGGGCACATGAGTTGTAAATCTGGCCCTGCTTCTACCTGGTGGAGAGCTGCCTGCCGGCAACCCCACCCCCTATTATACCTGGGCCCAGCACTATTGCTGGGACCCAAACACCATTGCGTGGTACAAGGGTTAAGGTGGCGGGACAGGTTTTTTTTTCTCATTGTACCCATCATTCAGAGCCCCAGCCCTATTCCTCACCTTCTTTAGGAGGTGCTTACTCCACTCCCAATTCCAGTTTATCAGGAAACCAGACCCC